TGGTAACTATGTTTAACTTTTTGAGAAACTGCCAAACTGTTTTCTACAGTGGCTACATTTTACATTCCTACCAAGGGTCCTAATTTCTCCGCATCCTCACAAAAACTTATTTTCCAGGTTATGTTTTGTTTTTGTTTTTTTAATAATAGCTGTCCTTAATGGATATGAAGTTTTATCTCGTTGTGGTTTTGATTTGCATGTCCTTAATGACTAATTATGTTGCAGGTGCTTATTGGCTATTTGTATCTCTTCTTTAAGATATGTCTATTCAACGCCTTTGCCCATTTTTGAATTGGATTGTTGTTTATATTGTTGAATTGTGTAAGTTCATTACATATCCCGAATATTAATCCCTTATCCGACATGTGATTTACAAATATTTTCTCCCATTCTGTGAGTTATCTTTTCACTCTCTTGATAGTGTTCTTAGATTCACAAATGTTTTTAATTTTGATGAAGTCCAATTTATCTATTTTTTCTTTTTTGCCTATGTTCTTGGTATCGTATCTAAGAATACACTGCCAAATCCAAGGTCATAATGATTGACCTCTATGTTTTAAGAGTTCTAGCTTCTATATTTAGGATGTTAATCCATTTTGAGTTAATTTTTGTATATGGTCTGAGACGGATCCAACTTTACTCTTCTGCTTGTGAATATCAAGCTGTCCCAATATCATTTGATGAAGAGACTATTCTTTCCATCATGAAATGTCGCCCTTCTGAAAAATCAGTTGGCCAAAGATATTTGGATTTATTTCGAGAATGTCAATTCTATTCCATACGTCTATGCCTATCCTTATGCCAAGTACCATACGGTTTGATTACTATATCTTTGTAGTAAGTTTTGAAGTTAGAAAGTACAAGTCTTCCAACTTTGTTCTTCATTTTCAATATTGTTTGGGCTCTTTGGGGCTCCCTGCACATCCATATGAATTTGAGGATATGCTTTTCAATTTTGTTTCTTTAATAAAAGGCTGTTAAAATTTTTATAAGGATTGCATTGAACTTGTAGATCACTTTTGAAGTCTTAACAAGTCTTAACAAATCTTCTAATCCATGAATACAAGGCCTTTCCAATCTTCTAATCCATAAATATGGGGTCTTTACATTTATTTAAATCTTAATTTCTTGCAGCAGTATTTTATAATTTTCAGTATACACACCTTTCATCTCATTGGATAAATATACTCCTGAGCATTTTATTATTTTAGATACTGTAAATGGAATTTTCTTAATTTCCTTTTCAGAAGTTCATTGTTAATGCATAGAAATGCAACTGGTTTTTGTTGTTGACTTCGTATTCTGCAACTTTGCTGAATTTAATAGCTCTAATAGTTGCATATACGTGTATCATTTTTTTTTTAATTTTATAAGTTTATTTGAACCAAACTGATGATATATGCCAGGGAGCAAGATCTCAAATGCTCCCGTGTGTGTATTCTTTGGGATTTTCTATATATAAGATCAAGTCATCTGCAAATTAAGGTAATTTCACCTGTTCTTTTCCGATTTGAATAACTTTTATTTCTTTTTCTTGCCCATTTGCTCTTGTTAGAACTGCCAGTACAATGTTGAATAACAGTGAAAGCAGGGATCTTTGTCTTGTTCCTGATCTGAGGAGTTATTAGCTATAGATCTTTTCATAAATATCCATTAAGTTATGGAATTTCCCTTCTATTTCTAGTTTATGTAATCATGAAAGGGTATTGGACTTTGTCAAGTGCTTTCTTAGTGTCAATTGAGGTAATCACGTGAATTTTTTACTGTTTTTATTGAAGTATAACACACATAGAGAAATGCACAAGTCAGAAGTATTTGAATGAATTCTTACCAGGCAAACATAACCATGTACTTCCTCTTTGCGTCTTAAAAATACTGCTATCCTGACTTCCTACATTACAGAAGTTTTGCCTGTTTTTCACACTTTATATGAATGGAATCAAATCGTATATATTCTTTTTGTCTGGCCTCTTTTGCTCAACATAGTACCAGTGGGATTTTTTTCCATGTTGTTAGGTATAGCAATAGTTAATTTTTATTGTTGTGCAGTATTCTATTAAGTAAATACCATAATTATATATTTAGGAGTGAGGTATATAACTAGGAGTGGAACTGCATAGTCAGTTCTTTCAAATTATAGCAATATGGTAGGTGTAGTGGAATTTCATTGTTTTAATTTGCATTGCTGATAGTTAATGAGATTGTTTTGGGATCATTTGGATAGCTTCTTTGGTGAAATGTCTGTTAAGTCTCTTGCCTATTTTTTTACGGTTAGCTTGCCTGTCTTTTGTATTTTTAAAAGCAGGTATAAAAATAATACAAGTTACCTCAAATAATTGTCTTATGATTTAGTTCCTTTTGTCCATTGTCAACTTTTTTCCTATTTCATTTTTCAATTAAATTTATTGGAATGACATTGGTTAATAAAATTAAATAGGTTTCAAGTGTACAATTCTATAATACATCATCTGTACATTGTATTATGTAGATTTTTTCCTTCATTATATTGATATATGACATTGACTGATTTTTGCACATTGCCTCGCATTCCTGGGATAAATCCTACTTGGTCATGGTGTATAATCCTGATAAGTATGCTGTTGGATTCAGTTTGTTAGTATCTTAATGAAAATATTTACATTTATATTCATAAGGGATATTTGTCTGTAGTTCTTTTTTATTATTATTTGTCTTCAGGGTAATGCTAGCCTCATGGAATGAGTTCAGAAGTGTTCCCTCCTATTTTTTGGAAGAATTTGAGGACTGGTGTTCATTCTTCTGTAAGTGCAAGGTAGGATTAACTAGTGAAGCCATCTGGTCCTGGGCTTCACTTGGTTGGGAGGTTTTTGATTAGTGAATCTATCTTTTACCTGCTATACATATGTTCCAATATGTCTGTTTTCTTTCTTCTTGAGTCTGTTTGGTAGTTGGTTTGTTTCTAGGAATTTGTACATTTCAACTAGGTTATCTCATTTGTTTGCATGTAATTGTTTATAGTATTCTCTTGTTACCATTTTTATTTCTGTAAGGCCAATAATAATGTCCCAAATTTTATTTCTATTACTAGTAATTCCAGTTTTTGCTTATTTTTCTTAGTCCAAATGGCTAAAAGTTTGTCTATTTTGTTGTTATTTTCAAAATACAAAATTTTTATTTTGTTTTTCTCTATTGTTTCTGTTTTATCTCACTCTAATCTTTTTTTTAATTTCCTTCCTTCTGGTAGCTTTGGGTTTAGTTTGCTCTTCTTTTTTCTAGGTCCTTAAGGTATAAAGTTAGGTTTTTGATTTGAGATCTTTCTTCTTTTCTAATGCAGACATTAACAGGCATGAAGTTCCCTCAAAACACTGCTTCTGCTGCATCCTGTTTTATTATGTTGTGATTTCATTTTCATTGTCTTAAAATATTTTCTAATCTCCCTTGTGATTTCTTAAATAATAGAATGTGTTGTTTAAGAATATGTTGTTTAATTTCCATATAATTGAAATTTTTTCCAATTTTCCTGCTGTTATTGATTTCTAGTTTTATTCCACTGTTGTCAGAAAAGATATTTTGTATAATTTCAATATTTAATTTATTGAGACTTTTTTTGTGTCCTAACATTTGGTCTATACTAAAGAATGCCCCACATGTACTTGAGAAAAACTCTTATATCTTCTTGATGAATTGATCTTCTTATCAATATATAATTCCTTCTGTCTCTTATAACAGTGTTTGCCTTAATATCTATTTTGTCTGACATTAGTATAGACAACACAGCTCTCTTTTGCTTTCTATTTGTACTGAATCTCTTTTTTCGTTCTTTCACTTTCAACCTATTTGCATCCTTGAATCTCAAGTGAATCTCTTGCAGACAGCATATATTTGGACTTTTTGATAATCTATTCTGTCTTAATTGGAGAGTTGAATTCATTTACATTTAAGGTAATTACTCATAAAGAAGAAAACACTTCTGCTATTTTGCTATTTGTTTTATATATGTCACATCTTTTGTGGATTTTTTTCTTTTTCTTTTTTTGGTAGCACACCATTTTGATTTTCTTGTTTCTTTTTCTGTATATTTTTAGTTATTTTCTTGTTGGTTACCCTTGGGATTGCAACTAACCTCTTAAATTTTAGAAATCTAGTTCTAATATAGCCTTAGCTTCATTAGTATATAACAATTGTTCCTATACAACGCCATCCCTTTATGTTTCTGTCCTCACAAAACACATCTTTACAGTTGTGTGCCCATGAACTATCTACAATTATTGTCTTATGCATTTGTATTTTAAGTCATATAGAAAAAAAGGAGTTACAAACTAAAAATACAATAATACTGGCTTTTATATTTATCTACGTAGTTACTTTTATCAGTGTTCTTTATTTCTTTATATGGTTTAAGTTACTGTTTAGTTTCATTTCCACCTAAAGGACCATCTTAAGCATTTCTTGTAGAACAGGAAATAAACTAGCAACAAACTCCCTTGGCTTTTGTTTATCTAGGAATGTCTTAATTTCCCCTCATTCTTTGAAGAATAGTTTTGCTTGATATAAAATTCTTGGTTGACAATATTTTTCCTTAAATACTTTAAATATGTCATTTCACTGCCTTCTGTCCTCCAGAGTTTCTGAGAAATTGGCTATTAATCTTACTGAGGATTCCTTGTATGTGACAAGTTGCTTCTCTCTTATCACTTTCTCTCTCACAGAGGCTAATACTATACAGCTGTGGCTCTTGGTAAGGATACCTTGTTAACTAGTTTTGATATAAACACTGTCCAGTGGTTTTTGGTTTTGCTATACAGTTGCTCTTTTTTTTAGAGGGGAATTCAGGGAAATTAAAAAACCATGTCACCATTACTACTGCTGCCATCTTGCTTGCCAGATTTTAGAGTATATTTTTAAAGCCCTTAGAATTTTTCTGCAGAAAATTTTCTTGAACAAAATTTCTTTAAAATCTTATAACTGTTTCAGAATTAAAACAGGTGAGACAAATAAAAATGGATGTTTTGTCTGCTTACCTCACAAAGTCTGAATAAGCTGTATTTTGTTTCAAAATCTGTCCCCAAGACCATCACAAGGGCATTCATTGAGATGGTAGTAATCATAATTAACCTAAAGAGATGACTCGTTATGACTCTTTTCACAAATGCCTGACACTGAGTATCCTTCCTCCTGTCAAAAAGTTAAATAAGAAGCATGATTATCTTATAACAGAGCTAGATCCCCAAACAATGAATACTTTTTTGAAGGCACTAGGGTCTTCTTTCCTCCTCCTGTGAATATAAGTTTACATATACTTTAAAATTGCAATGAAATGCTAATGACCACTGAAGTATGTATGATGATCACTGAGTAGGTCTGTTGGTTCTCTTTAGAACTCTGAAACAGAATAGTTACCACTCCTTCTCAAGCAAAACAAAGCATTATCTTCACATACGCATTCAATAAATTTTTATTGAGTGACTACTATTCAACTCATTCATTGCTCATTCAAAAGTTTTTATTCAGTGATGACTACATGCCAGGCATTATAGTGGGCACTGGGGATATATGTAAGCAAAACTAAATATCGTTAGTCTAGTAAGAAAAATGGATAATAATCAAATAATCACCCAGACAAGTGCTTACAAATCATTTAAAAACACACACACACTTTTTTAAAAAATGGGTAAACACAGTCAACTCAGAAAAGAAATACGAATGGCAATGAATTTCCCCCAAAATATTCACTAACACTACAAGTCAGAGAAATGAAAATTAAGTAAAACTACTCTTTTTGCTTATAAAAATCAGCAAAGACTTAAACATAATAATAATCAATGCTGGCAATACTGTAGTGTGATGGAGCATTCTCATAAACTTCCGGGGAGATGTAAATTGATAGACTTTTCTGAAAAACCTTGGAACTGTTCATATCCTTGGACCAAAGAGAATACAATCTGAAATGCAAACAGTGACTTGGGCCAGATGTGTTTATCCCAACATTATTTACAGTAGTGAGAACTTAGAAACAATTTAAAAGTCTAACAAAAAAGACTGGTTAAGTAAATTATAGCATATCCATCTCATGGAATAGTATGAAGATACTAAAAATGTCTATGCAGTTTTCATAACTTAGAGAAATGCTTAGATCCATTGGATTGCAAAACACAAAAACAAAATAAGACACAAAATTCTCTACTCAAAATTATCTCAACTGTACAAAAACGGGTAGAAGAATAAATACTTGGCAGGAAATATGCCAAAATACTAAGTGTTGAGATTATAAGTGATTCTTTTTCCTGTTTATCTGTGCTTTGCAATTTTTCTCAGAGTATTGCTTTTTTCCCATTATACATAACAAATGAACATTCTCATAACAGCAAAAAAATATAGAATGTATATATTTTTATAATCTATGAAAACAAGATGTATGATTTTCATTATCTGATTTGAGATAGGGTCTGCTACTAAAAAAAAAAAAAAAGCCTTCAAGTTATCTCACACAGTAATTAACAAAAAAGGACAAAACAAAGTCAAACTAGTCATTCAGTCTACAGGTCAAATAAGAGCAAGACTGAATGTCTGTCTTAACCAGCCAGTCATGATATTAGAGCCAAAGAAGCAAAACGTTTGGCTGAGCCTTCACCAACCTCACCAGTTAGAAATCAAAATTATCAAGGACACACACGTCAATTTGAGAAGTGGATGAGTGTCTATGAGAAGAGGCTGACAAAACACTGGCACCCTGGACCCACACTGCCATTTGCACATTTCTTAACAGGCAATAGAAATAACAATATTTACTGAAATGTCCCGAATTTTGCACAGAACATCAACGATGCACTGTCCAACTGTGAATTAGTCATGACTCTTGAGCGGGGCTGGTGATAAAAGTGTTGAGACATTTTCCAAATTTTCGATTTGTTCTCCTTGCTTTTATCATCCAACAGAAAATCTCTGCTTAGGGATTTCCTCGATGTCTAGATTCTAGAGGCGGCAGAGAAGGGTCCATGAAGGGAATCCTTGCTTTATGAAGTCACTCTTGGGCATTCCAGTACTTACCAGCCTGCCTGCCCCTGGAAGGGAGAGCTCCCTAGCTGATCTATGCACAGAACTTCTTTTCCCAGGGAGAATGAGAATGTCAGTTCGGCATAAGGGTTATGAGCACCCCACAATTGTGAAGCTCCAAGCTAAAACTAAGAGACACCAGAGATAAGCCAGGCAAAAGCCCCTCATTCTTCAAGAAGTGCCTTCATCTGACAGACAAAGGCCTTTAATAACATACAAGAATAAGGATGTAGGAGAGGGGAAAACAAGATTCTCTGAGATTCTAAGAGCAAAAGCACACACCCAGGACATAGCACTGGAAACAGCTGGAAAGACAAGAAAAGATTTTGATGGGTTTGGAGCTAAAAGAACAAAAGGAGCAGAGGTTACCCAAGCCCAATACTGGCCTGGAATGTGCACATATGCTCACCTAAACAGAGTGTAAGGGATGAGTATAAGGTAGAGATGTTTTAGGTGCAAAAATAATACAGATTTTTACTCTGTGTAATTCTTGGGAATAATATATTCACCTTGCTCTCTTTTTCCTAAATCCTTTGCTTTTCAAGGCCTGTGTTGTACTAAATCTTTAGTGGCTAAATTGATCAAATTCCTGGAAACCTAAGTACTTGAGCCATAAGAAAAGAAGGCAACCGCCCACCACTGCTGTTGTCCCGGGTGTTCTAAAATAATTGTGTATGACTATTTCTGGTAAGAAAATACTCTTGTAGTCAACCAATATACTGAAATGGGAAATAACATCTTATTTACTCAATTTCTTCATTTAAAATCATCAACAGCCAAGCTTTAAAAATCACTTTGATTAATTTCCCGAAGATTCAAACTTTAGTCCCATCTTCTCACTCTATATTCTCTCTCTCTCCAGTACTCCCTACTGCCTCCTTTGGTCACATCCCCGCCCCCCTCCCCAACACCTTCTGGGCTCCTGCCCAAAATCCCTGCAGTGGCCTCCTGGAGCAGCTGCTCAGAGAGAGCCTGAATCAGTTCTCCATCTCTGTCTCCACCTGCCCCAATACATCAGTGTGCCTAATCCCGCCAGGGGCATACAGAAGGCCCTCGGAAAGTGTGTGTTGTATCAATACACAAATGAATGGCTCCAGGGATCCTTATGCTCACTCAAGTAGCTGAGCATAGTGAGATTCCTGGTCCAGGAACCCCAATGGTACACTTCTATACCTTCCCTCTTTAAGCACCAAAGCATGCTTTGGGGAGAAATGAAAAGATTAAGAATGTAAAAAATTCTTCATTCTGCTTAGAGGGGTGAGGAAAGATGGCCAGCTGAGAGCAGCAGAGAAGAGCCCAGTTGTTCTAGTGTGCTGAGGTTTCTGAAGTCACTGATGAAGACATCTAGCCTGCAAGTGGAACTCTGGCTGGTGAGTGGAATCAGAGGTGATGAGCTTATCCAGGGCTTCATGAAACCGTCCAGATCTTCTCACGGAGAGGTGGGCATCCTGGCACGAGAAGCCAAAGGAGCATTTCTTCTGCCCTTCAGCAGCGAAGCACACTCTGCCCGACTTGGGCGGCACTACCTCAGCTGTACACAGCCAGGAAAATCAGCAGTCAGAGGCATAGCAGCTTGGTGACTCAGGTCTTCTGGCCAAGAGTCATCCCTTTAGTAGTCCCAAGTAACTGGCACTGAAACACAAAGCTCACATATTATAGCCAAACCCTACTATATAGCTCTTGCTATTTTGCAGGAAATTTTACAAAATTGAAAGTTATAAAGTTCAACTAGTATATTTTGGAATGCTGGATTAGAAAGTTTACAGACTGCTTCATACCAACACTAGTTGTCCAATACTTCAATACACTAAGGGAGGTCAGGTTTGTGTCCCAGTACAATACACATGCTGCTGCTTTTTATCTAGAGCAAAACCATAAAATAAAAACCATGCTTATTCTACGTATCCAGAGACTTCCTATATCTTATCAATGTCAAAAAGTAACCATTATTTTCAGAACTTTCATTATTTTCATTTGAGAAAAAGACGCTGTCAAATGGGCTACCCTTGGTTTGTCATAGAGTCATAGGTCATGTCTACTTAATGCTGCTCTACTCCAGTGATCATTTAGAAAGAAAATGGAGGAAAACCAAAGCTTACCACATAAGAGACACCACTGCCATCACACAGAGATCTGGAACAGAAGGGAACTTGGGAGCCTCCAACCTTACCAATGTCTCTTTTAAGCTAAAATGTCAGTTACTTGAAGCAAGTCTGGGACTTATTCTGTTAGAATTTATCACAATGAGTATTTCTATGGCCTTCTGATATGGGACCTTTGATTCTCTATAGTTAAATTTGTGAGTTCCAGCAGATGCAACATAGACCTTATGTCAAACATTCATGTAGATGCTAATCAGTAGCTGCATTCTCAGGTCTCACCACTGCAATTACAAGCCATATCTTGTTTGCTCTACCATATGTGCTATATGTGGTATATGTTAATAGCCAATGAGTTTAGCCCCTCAGATTTACATTCAAAACAGAGAGAAAGGTTTCTGTTCAGGGTCATATGTTAAATGTATGATAGCACAAGGGAGCAGACAAGCAAATCCAGAAGGTGGAATATTCTACAGCAGTGGTCCCCAACCTTTTTGGTACTAGGGAAGGGTGCTCCTATGAGAATCTAATGCCTGATGATCTGAGGTGGAGCTGAGGCAGTGATGCTAGCGCTTGGGAGCGGCTGCAAATACAGATGAAGCTTCGCTTGCTCATCAGCTGCTCACCTCCTGCTGTGCAGCTTGGTTCCTAACAGGCCATGGACCATACTGGGATTTGGGGATCCCTGGTCTACAGGACTCCTAACCCAGTTTTTACAATAAGTCAATGACATGGAGGAAAGGGGGAGGGAGGACAGCTAGCTTGCTCTAGATTGAAAGGTTAAGAAGACACAAGAACTAGATGTGATGGATAGACTTCGTGTGGATCCTGATCAGAACAAAGTAACTGTCCAAACACATTCTCGACCTTCAGGGCAATTTGATTTTGCCCAGGTATTAGGAGATACCAAAAAATTATGGTTTATTTTGTTAGGTGTGATAATGGTATTCTGGTTTGTACAAGAAAATGACCATATTTTCTAAAGATGTTTACTGAAGGATGTAGGGGTAAAATGAAATGCTATCAGAGATTTGCACTTAAATACTTTAGTAAAAAAAAAAAAAGGAAATGGGATTATATGAAGTAACTAGGGCAAAATCTGGGTAATTGCTAAATCTAGATGATCAGTACATAGGGTTCAATGTACTTATTCACTTTATTTTAAAATATATTAAAATTTTTTCAAGTTTAAAAACTCATGCAAAAAAACTGAAGCACTGAACGAAAAATCTTTAGTAATAAAATGTATATAAGTCCCCCTAAATGTATAATGTAAGAAAAGAGTTTATAAAAACACATAGCTTTGCCTTTTCCTTTAAAAAGACTTCTAAGAAGCACAAGTCTTAGTCCCAGACTCTGGGTCTCCCAGCAGCCACAGAGGCTCTTCTATCTCTTCCTTCCCTGCACACTTCTTACCCACAAGGTAAGCTGACCATATCTGCCCCTGCCAGGCCAACAGAACCAGCCAGGAACTAGCTTCAGAGAGCTCAGACCCCTTGTCATGTTCTCATAGGGTTTCTCAGATTGGAGGTTGGGGTGAGTTGGGGAGGGGAAGGTTTGCTTGTTGTAACAGAGGGATTTTTCTAGCCACGGTAGTGAGTTGGGTTACAAAGATGATCCCTATTAAATTGTACCACGGTAATGCTTCAAGGGATTAACACGTGTTCCCTGGATGGACAGATATTCTTTTAATCTACATTCGAAGCTCATTAATAAGTACATTCCTGAGTTCCTTGAAAGGATGCTATTACTGCAATTTTTAAGTAATAGATTACCTTATATTCCATTCTACTCTTGTCAGTGACATACGAGTAAACAGAATCATTACTAGATAATACCCAAGTAGCTTCTATCTTAATAGCTACAGACCTTCAGTTCAGGGGTCACAATATGCAAATGATGAGAAAAATGACCCTTGGTTCCTCCTTAACTCAGTAAGTCAAATAATGATGTGGCAAGTTGGTCATTGTGACTGTAAATCTTGATATTGCCCCACTTTGCAGGAAGACATGAAAAAAATACTTGTCTTCTCCTTCAACTCTCTGCCTGAAAAGTAACAATAAAACACCCAATTTTTGTAACTTTGTAATCTAATTAACTATCTAAAAGTAATAACAGCAGCTAAAATGCAAATTGATTTTATTTCATAAGAATTGTAATAGACAGTTAAAACCCTTTACCTACAGAGTTCATCATTCTTATTTTACCTTGTAACTATTCTCCAACACAATGCATTTGTAAAGTCACCATAATCACTTGAATTTCTGAATTATAAAATGTGGGACTACTCCTCTATCCCAATTTCTGGTCTTTAAGAATACTATTTCTCTTTTTGAATACTGTATTATTAACATAATTACCAGAGTTGGTTTGCCTTGTATATGTAATTAGATATAATGAAAATTAAAGTCATTTTGTATTTGAGCACTGATTTTACAAAATGTGGTATAAAGGTGAACTAAATTTACAATTTAATTTGTTTAATTTAATTTGTTCATGTAAATCCCCTTCAAAATACATTGCACCTAAGATGTATATAAGATTTTACATGCATTTTGGAAGAAATCACAGAGAAGCAGCTGCTTTTTCTATAAACTTGGCCAGTTTCACATCTCTTTTGGTCAGTCCACCACAGTCATGAGAGGTAAGAGTTATCTGGACCTAAGGAAGAGAGAAACAGTTTTAAAATCCTGACCTGAGATTCATGGTATTCTCCTTTAGTGGTTCAGCAATCAATTATTCAACATTCATATTTGAGAACTAGGGAGATTAAATGATTCAGAAAATACTATTTTATGAATTTATGAATAAGCACAGCATTTCCAAAACTCAGCAAACTCTAGGGGCACAGTCTGCTTCGGGCTGGGCCAGCAGCTGCCCGGGGATAAAACGGTTCTCTCATAAGAAGGACAATTCAGTTGCCAGAATCTCAAATCTTGTCTCTTGAAAAAAAAAAGAGACTGAAGTTTCATTTGAACTCCCATTACTTTAATTACACCAACTATTTTCAGGCCACTGAGAAAAACCAAGCTATCAAATACAGTATCTTAACAACATTTAAAAAGTCCATATCCAAATTAGTGAAGTGGGGTGGAGTTGGGGTGGAGGAACAGATTCTTGCTTCTTGATAAATCAATTAAAAAGCAAAGTTATGGGCAAAGAGAGGCAACTATGAAAGAAAAGTTTATCCTGGTACCTGCATGCTTGAATTATTCCAATAAATCACAAGACTATCCTAAAATCTTCTCTTTACTCTAAGTGGGCTTTCTTTTTTTTTATTATTTTATTATTATTATTTATGCCTACAGCACCTGGTCTTCCTAGGTGGTCTCCCATCCAAGTACTAACCAGGCCCGACCCTGCTTAGCTTCCGAGATCTGACATCAGACTTGTTCACGGTGGTATGATCGCAGACCATGGACTGCGGCTCCACTGGGGTGTGAACCTAGGACCTTCTGTGTATAAAGCAGATGTGCTAACCACTACACTATGGAAGTGGACTTTCAAAGAGAAAAAAGAACCCCATAGAAACCTAGATAAGATGTTCCAAGTGGCTTGACCATAAAGGCAAGGATTTTTTTTTGAGGGGGTGGGGGACATGATTCTTCTTACTGTACCCCCTTAAAGTTACTTGATATAGTATTTTTAACCTGTTCTAAAGAAGGTTAGTTCCCACTGATACAGCATTTAATAAATAGTTATTATTTAAAGCATAGTTCTTGAGCAAATTTATCTCAATGAGATAAACAAGGCCATATCTTATTTGCTATCATTTTTTACAATAATTTACCTCAAGAAGGTTTAAAACTTTATCTGCATGGATGACATTCAAGTTTAATTCAGGAGCCTAACATGGTCCAATCTTCATATTAGTTTCAGTAGAAGCATGAAAATAAAGGGCTTGTTCACTGTCCTCTTGAGCAAATCTGAAATTTTGTTACTAATATGCATTAATACACAGGATTCTGAGAGAAAATATAAAAGATGCTTTCCTAAGCACAAAGACACTTAGCTGCACAGGATAACAAGGAATAAAGAAAGATAGAAGTTTCTTAAACTCCATAATTAAAGTGATCCCAAAAATAAGACAACATTGTTACCTTGTTGTACACGTTGAACCATTCCGGGTGATGATTCATTTTCTCTGCTTGTAGGGCAACTCGGGACATAAAGCCAAATGCCTACACAAGATGAAGTTGAACGTGGTTACTGACACTGCCCTCTGTCCTGGCCTGAGAGACATTGGAGCAATCCAACCAGATAAAGACAAGGCTAGCAACCTTAGGGAAGCCTGGAGAAATCAAATATGGAAGGGACTGCTCCCCGCAGAGCAGGACCATGACCTGCTGCTGCTAGATAGTGGAAAACAATCAGGCTCAAATAAACAAAGCAGGAAATTGGTCTCACCCAGTGACCTGTCTGGATTGTTTAATTGTCCTCAGGACTAGACTCTCCAAAATAGCACAGGAATAATTTCCCTTCAACCCAGTGCCCTGGATCTCACTACCTGGCCACAAATCTTAAGAGCCACTTTTCTTATAGCACTGTTCCTTTTGTTTTTAGTGAATGAGTTGCTAACTAAGGCATCAACCACAAGACTATGGGAGACTGTCTTCTGAGTGTGTCTTAAGCCAAAGCACTGGCAGAAATGAACAACTTCCCCATCCTATCTCTCAGGCAGGACAGGAGGGTACGAAAGAATGTTTTCATTGACCTCTAGAGTGAAACAGAAAAGACTGGCTTGCCTTCTCAGGGTCTTCTTACTACTGCCCAGCATTGCCACTTTGAGGAGAGAGTGCCCCACCTGTAGGCAGAGGGCTGCAGACCCTGCCACAGGTGTAAGTGTGGACCTGTAGGGCTGTCTTCATACCACAGGAAAAGTGGAAACCTAAGTTTGTTAAGCAGAAGTCACACTTGAGAGGAAAAAAACATTTTGAGAGGAAAAAAAAAATCTTTTTTTTTTTTTTTTTGCTTGCTTTCAAATTTTTATGAGGGTAATTGCAACAATTGGAGAGTCTGTCTCTATTATACCCAGAGGGCAAAAATATTTGGTAAGACTCTAAGGTAAGGCACATTAACGACAAAGTTACAGTGGAATTCACAAGACTGTACCCACTAGAGCCACGGAAATAAATATTTAACTTTATTACCCCATCCAGAAAAACCAATCTGATGTTAGTTGCACTATGCTTTTTGGATCACCAAATGACAAAAGAGCGCATTTCCAAGTTAACAGAAATAGGGAAGATGCCATTTTAAACAATTCTATGTCATTCACAGTGGTTTCTATCTCAGAACTGACTTTATTCAGCATAAAAATTTCCATTTTGATATTTTAGGTCTAAAGGTTTCCTTGTGAGGAAAAGGAAGGAAATTCAAGTAAAATCCGTTTAACCATGTATGAAATTATCAGTGGGAAAGTATATTCACTTTGCTACCCCTTCTCATTTCATACAGTAGTTCCCTCTTATCAACAGTTTCACTTGCCATGGTTTCAGTTACCTGCAGTCAACCACAGCCTAAAAATATTAAATGAAAAATTCCAGAAATAGATAATTTATAATTTTTAAAATGTGCAGTTCTAAGTACAATGATGAAACCTCGCACCATCCCACTCCATCCCACAATGACACAAATCATCCCTCGTCCAGTGTATTCATGGTGTGTACACTACCCATCCATCAGGCACTTAGCAGCCATCTTGGTTATCAAACTGGTTATCAGAGAGAGAACACATATAACTTCTATTATAGAATATTGTTATAATTGTTCCATTTTACTATTAGTTATTGTTGTTAATCTCTTATTGTGCCTAATTTATAAATTCAACTTTATCAGAGGTACACATGTATAAGAAAAACGTAGTACATATAGGGCCTGGTACTATCCAGTTTCAGGCATCCACTGGGGGTCTTAAAATATATCACTCACCCACAGATAAGGGGGGAACCACTGTAATCTGATTCTCTAGATTATGTGAGAAGGGACAAGTTAAATATGAAAGTCTTTTAATTACTGAAACACAGAGTTAACCTGTATTAAATGATGTATAATGAAGATTTTTATTGTTTATAATGCCTTATTCCTATTTAGCTTTAGAAGACTTCCAAGACTAATCACCACCCAGAGAGATAATTACACAGTCATTAAGGGCACGGCCTTATGAGCCAGGGAGTCCTGGATTCGAATCCCAACTCTACTACTTAATTGTCACATGATTTAACTCTGAGCCTGTTTCTTAGCAGTAAAGTGGGGATAATAAAAAGCTCATGTAATCACTGTCATAAAAAATTAGACAGAGGATATAAAAGCACTTAGCACAGCACTAGGCATAGCGTATGAGATCAATAATGGCACACACTGCTACCACTAGTGCTGCTGGCCAACCTATGATAAGCCTTACAAAATGTAATGATAGGTGAAAAGCCCTCCTACAGCCTTGAGAATCTAAGATTCCAGTTGCTGCCTCCCAGAAGAATGGCCCTTTCCTTTTCCCACATGCCATGACTAGAGACAGACACACATATACCTGACAAACAGATAACATACTGTGGGGTAACGCCATGATGCACATTGACTGGGGAAACAGCTTAATGACAAGAAATTAGGTGGGAACAGTTACTCACTGACTAAGTTCTAAAGCCCTGTGACCACAATTTCTTTGAACCATGTTATCCCAAAATGTTCAAAGTGATACTTAGAATCCTTTACTATTTCCCAAGAGCCAAGTGTATCAAATGAATGATTTGAACATGGTCAGAAAACAAAGCAGGTCTAATATATAGACAATTATTGTCAATAAGAGAACAAATAAAACTAGAAAACATTAGAGATGTAATTCAAGAAAAATGTCCAGAAATAAAAGATTTAAATCTATACATGTTAAGAATTCAACGATGTTTATACATCCTAGAAAGGTTAGTGGACTTTGAAGAAAAACAAACTTTGGGTATATAGTCAAAAAGATCAATTCACCTGTAAGGATGAAAAGAATCTGACTTCAAACTTCCACACAGCAACATTCAACATAGAAGCCAGAGGGGCAATGCTTATCAAGAATTTAGGAAGTGAAAGTGCAAATAATTTTATACTTAGCTAAACTGTTGTTCAAAATTAATTCAAGAGATATATTTTTTAATACAATAAGCCAGGAGATAATTTCCATTCATTCTTCTTGAGGACACTTTTATTAAAGGATGAAATATAAGCACTAAGAGAGGAATGGAGAAACTATACCAAAGGTATTGGCAGTGAGCAATAAATTCACTCAGCTCTAGGAACATTTTTAAACCAATTGTGAGGATTATAGTCACCGAATAAAATGCAAATGCTATAAACTATTAAAAGAGTTGAAGGAAAAAAAAAAAAGAAATGCGGAAAGTAAATGAAAGTTTTAAAATCTTGAAAGCTGAAAGACCAAGTGTTAGAGATATTAAGTATACCTAAAGGTAAAAAAAACAAAACAAAACAAAAAAAACACTAGACAAACACTAGAACTAAAAAAATAACATAAACTAATTGTGTGGTAAAGGGACAGAAGAAAGTAGAAGTATAATTTTCATACTGTTTAGTGGAGAGATCACTATATAAAGAAATGTTATCTAAATGATTTAAAGAAAGAAGATTAAGTTTGCCATGTAAAATTATAGGTATAATAGTATCCACGAGAATCAAAATAAATAGAAACATTCACAATTAAGTAAATAAAAGCACAATTAAAATGAAGCAAAGAAAACACAGTCCATATCATGATTTAAATTAAGGGAGAATAAAAGTATATTGGTTCTATCATGTTGTATAAGACCAAACATCTTTCCAATCAAACTAAAGAGCCTAAATCCAACCAATTAAAAGAAGAAAAAGCTTTATAATGCATCAGAAAGCAAAATGCAACCGCTGGAAATAAAAGGACACAGGCAAATGTAAAAAACATTTTTTAAGAAATCATAAGGGTAATTCGCCATTATAAAGTATATTCACAATGAGAAGTGAATACTTGTGAATATCTATACTACAAATAACATAGCATCAAAATCCAAGAGGCAGAAATGACAGGAAACATAGGACAAATAGAAACATTTATAGTTAGATACTTTAATTCACATCTTTTAATCCATGGCAGATTAAGTGAACAAAAGTAAGGATATCAACTACTTAAAAACATAATTTAAAAGGTAGATCTAGTTGACATATTTTAAACTCCAAAAACTGAGAATATAGCTTTTAAAATATTGAACAATCACAGAAAGTGAACACAGATTAACCCACAAAGAAAATGTCAATAAATTCCAAAAAGTAGTAGTACTGACAACACTCTCTGATAAAATTAGAAACAACTTTAAAATATTAAAAACTTTAAAAAATTAAAAACAACTACACATAAAAGTAGCAAAAAGTACTACATGAAAATTTTTTTAAATCTTTCTTTGAAAACTCGAGTCAAAAAAATATTGAAGCTGAAATAAACAGAAATTAATTATGTGATAAGCACTATATATAGGATACATCTAAAGCAATAATCTGAGTGAACACTTTTAAAAATTACCTTAAATTAACGAATTGGATAGAATAAAAATAAATTAAACATCCAATCAAGAAGGTAAATAAGTAACAACAAAATAAACTTAAGTAGAAGAGCATGAATAAATATAAATAAAGAGAAAAGCAGATGTAAATGAATTAGGAAAGAGAAAAATGGTAGAACTAATAAATCCAAAAGCTATATTTGAAAAACATATAAACAGTAGAAAACTGGTTACTTCATTTAAAGAAAAAAAAATAGGGAGAGAAAATACAGATAAACAAAAGAGGGAATGAGAATGGAGAAGTAACTACAAAGAGAACTTTTAAAACATACAAAAATAAATTTTAAACAAATACAAAGTTTATGCAAATAAAATTTAGAACATAGGTAAAATAGCTCTGAGAAATAAAAATTATCAAAACTGACCTCAGAAGAGAAAAAAATCTAAACAATTAAATAACTACAAAAAAGAAATGTATCTAAGAGTGACACTAAAAAGTAACAGGTCTCAATCATTTCACAGAGGAATTCTACCAAACCTTTAAGGACAGTAAACTCTAATACTAATTAAACTGTTCCAGAGCATAGAAAAAGAAAAAGATTTCCAAGTTATTTTCATAAACTATCATAACATTGTCTCCAAATTCCCACAGAGAA